TTTCGCCCATTTTCGCCTCTATTTTCTCCCAGTATTCTGATCTGAACGTAATCAATTTCTAGTTAACAACATTTTGCGACCCAATTCAACCCAATGAACTAAATAAACTAGCCTCAAGTGTGCGTTGAATCCTCCTGTCTCCAACCTTGCATCAGATATGCAATCTACTGAACACAAGTCACGTAGTATTTATAGCTCGTAGTGGCCACGCGCCCGCACGTTCACTATAATTATCAGCTCCAGTAACCACCGCTGGGGGCCGTAATTGGTGCGGTGATGACTTGGCAATTCGCTATCGAGTCTTTAATTGCCGCGATTTTGTCATCCGTGTTCTATGCAGGCCTAATAATTACGCGGTAATTACGTTAGCTGTCGTCGGAGTTGTTGCTGGGCCCGGCCCTTCCCACGTGACGGATTCTCCTGCCCAGAAAATGTCTCAGTAGGGTGTATGGGAAAGGCAAATCGTTGCGTTTGTTTATTGACTGTGGGCCTGATAACCATGACTCGATCAGCTCGTGGCTCGCGGTTGTCACCTCTTGCGAGGATTTCGGCGTCGTTAAACTTGAAAATATGGCCAGGTCCCGACGAGTGAGCTGCAACCTGGGAGTGTATTTGAAGTAAATGACAGAAGCCCTTTGTGAACTAAAGTTAAAATATGTGCGTCTGCATGGAATGCAGTTAGTTTGCAAATTTTTACAGGTAGTTTTACTATGCGAATTGCCTGAGACTGATATTTAGGCAAGAACTATTCATTCACTGCATTAGCGTCCGGATGTTCGTCTATATCCAATTTAATGTAAACAAAATGGCTTATTGAAATCGGTTAAGTAGTGTGTTTGCAGTTATCCCGATTGTTGTAATTTTGATTATTGTGGACCATGACCACACATTATTTCAGACTCACCAGGCTGCCGGCTTTTGAATGTTCTTTTTCTCTGGCTGTCTGTAGAAACTGCACAAGTTAAAATACATTTTTAGCATTATGCTTTTTTCAGCCGATTTTGGATGCCCTTATAAATTCAGATGTATTTTGTAAACAGCATGTGCAAAAAAACCTTTTCCGCAATTATTTAGTAGAAAATAATGTTCTTAGCGAAAGGGTATCCTTCGGGTTTGAGCAGTTCTCCAATTCTGGAGTTATTTTTAACCCCACCTGTCGTTGCATTCACTTTCAGGGTGTACAGTCCGCAAGGTGTCTAGTTTTAAGGCTTGAAAGATCATACATTCCTTCATGTTATTAAACAAATACAACACAGGGCTCCTACTATCTTGCAACCTTCGTTTTACATTTCCCACGGAGCCTTAATGAACTTTAAGGTACCAGCATTTTCCTAAAAAAAACCTTGCACCTGATATCCGCCTGCGGTTATGCGGCTGGTTTCTGCTAAATTATCTCACCAGCCTTATAATTCTATTCACTTTACTTTGTCTTCACGGGGCAAATAGTAAACTGAGTTATAACTTGATTCATATAACACACTTACGTAGGACAGTGCGGTGTCTGCTGTAGCCTATGCTTTACTCTCAACCTAATAGTCGTAGTGCAATTAATGAACATGTTTAACTTCCATTCGCTTTGTCTAGTTGACGGCCACCTTGTCGCTTTGTGGCGTATCTCGACGCGCTTGATTGCTTTCAAACTACTGCCACGCAATATGGGCCTACATCCAGCTGAGCTTATTCCTTCTAACCTCACTCTGACGGATGAAGATCGGTACCAGAAGACCACTGGGACGGCGGCGGCCCAGCTACGATCTCACCTCAAGACCGTCCTTTCAGAACTTCTGCTCAGTATGCCTGCACTAGCAGCCTTTGTCCGTCGGATCGACCCTACGGAGCTGGCGGCGGGATCGCCTCACCTACCACCGGATGGCTGGGCCCTCGCATATGTTTCCAATCTCGAGGGCTATCTACGGGATGAACTAGCGACTCCCCTGTGGTTGCGCATAAAACGCAAAGCGTGGCAGCTCGTTGTCCGCCTTCTCTCTTATCTGGAGGAGTAAGTTATCTTGCCCAGCAGGGACCCTGTTTCCTAACAGAAGCGGTCTGCAAGAGTTTAAGGAAATAGAGAAGTAGTTGATTGGCTGGTTTTCAGTCAGTTGTCCAAGAAGTGACTCAACCCACTGAACTTGTCCACTTAATTTCCTGCTGAATTTAGCCAGTTGATACCCTACTTATATATTTTTTGTCTACTTTCCACCCCTAGGTTCTTTGCCGACCCAATCGGCTTCCTCCTATCCAGCACCCTGCTCATTGCTGTCTTTTTCGGCTATTCACTTTATCGAGTAGCCAAGGATGTACTGTTCGAGGGCGTGGACCGGACGGCGGTAAGTGGCCGAAAGTCCTCTTCGCCAAGAGAACGATCTGCTACTTCGACTACTAGAGTGCCCGAACGGTGAGGAAACAAACCATTATAAGCAAAGTTTAACATGTACAGGGTCCTTTTAATTGCCTTAAAATGCATATTACGCCCATTTAAATCATCAAGACGGTAAAAATGCTTACTTTCCTGTGCCAAATTAAAAATATATTTCCTCTAGATGAACATTTTCGGGCATATCCTTTCGTATGAATTCGTTCTTTTTGAATGTTTTGAAGTATTCTTAAGCTTTCTGCGAGTAACGCTCGTAAACATACGGAATTTGACTGAGTTTTTTGGCCAAACATGTGCCAATGAAACTCGAACATTCAATGTGATAGGGGTGGCTGTCTTTAGCTAGTTGCTGCATTCTATAAGATACCTGGCTGGCAGACATGAAATGCTAATCACAATCGTCCGTAACACAATATTTTCAGTTTGAGCTCCGAAATTTAAATCTTTATGTATTCTTAAAACAGTAAGTTAAAAACTTTCACATATATTTTGAAGTACCTTCTTCGCATTGTCTTAGTTTGTTATTTTGGATTTTATTGGAACTTCGATGACAAACCTCATAGTTTAGTCAGCCTAGTTGAGAGCCATAACCATGTTCAAAATGTTGCGTCTGTTAACTAGTCCTTTTTTGTTTTAGGTTTGTGGAAAACTCCCAGAGGCAACTGGTTTCGCTAACTCCGTCAACCTACGATGGCCTTGTAAGACATGCGCCATCGGGAAAAATGACCCTTATTCTTTGCACGGATTCTTCACCAATGGGCAACCGTCTCGCTAATCACTTCTCTGAGATTGTCTTCAAATTGACGTAAGCACATGCCCTTTTTACCAAGGCACTGAATTCTATGCTACTTGCTTTATCGAATATCTACAAGAAAGGCCACTGTCTGTCTGTAAAGTTTTATTCGATTCAGTTTCATTGTTGTGACGCTAAGACTACTAAATATTGCGATTGTCCAGCTTCCCGTCTCCTTTTTATCAGTAGTTGCTTGGGGCTGACCTTTTCAGAGTTATTTTGTGCCAGCTGACAGTGCTGTTCACCAACATGTGCCGATTGGAGGCTGAACTGGTGGAGTGTAGAGTAATAGTAGTCAACTTCTACTACAGGTTTTATGTGAAGAAGTTGGTAGGTCTTGATCGGATGAATACAGTAGATGTGATATGTCATAAAATTCTAAAAGAAATTCTTAAAAAAATCACTTAAGTAATGTAAAATAATTCAAAAATAGTTCAGTCACTGGCGTTTGAACAAGCTTTCCGGCTGCCTGAAATATCCGGAAACTTTAAAAACGTAGTACTTGAGTAGTGTGAATTTTCACCGGTGATTTTTGATGTACTTACAAATTAAACTATACTTTATAGAAAACGTGCACACAGATATTCATTTTTATACTTATTTGGTGGCAAATTTTGCCTTTTTTAATTTTTATTGCTTGAAGTAGTGGCATCTTTCGGTTCTAACATTTAATGATAAAGCACAACTGAGTTCACCTGCCCCTATTTGCTTGCGGCGCCCGCACACGTCGTTTTATTTAGCACCATTTCACCTTGTAGAAGTTATTTTTTCTAGACTTGAAGGTAAGGTGATTATAATCCTTTAATTTGGCAAGACTGGGCACCTAGTTGTTCTTCGTCGGCTACTTGCACTTTCCAGTTTCTGAGCCCATTGCTCTTGGTCACAGAAGCGAAGTCGACTGCCCTTTAGTTTTCTTCGGGCAGTGCTTGACCCACCTGTCATGTGTATTTATTGATTTACTATGTTTATATATTAGTAATGAGATAATGCGGACTGTTTGGTAGAATGTGAGTACCACGAAGTTATTCATTTGAGATGGGTGGATTTCAACTCACATATTCGCAACAAACTTCTAACGAATTCGTGCGTCTGTATGTGCCGAAAGGCCTACACCAGGTCCACCAATTAACTTCTAGTGCGATTCAATTTTTGGCATATAGAGCTTTTTGTTAAGCACTAAGTCAAATTTGGTTTTCTCAAGTGATGAGACACTCGTGGCAGCGCGCCTCTCCGTGGACCGCTATCCTCGTTGGTTGGGCTGGATCCTTGAGTCGGCTACAAACATACCCTTTCGGCCTCAAAACGAAGCTGAGGAGACTTACAACCGCACCACCCTTACCTTCAATCCAGCAAATTGTCGAGGCACTGTATTGGCAGTAAACAGTCGTCGACGCTACTTCAGCGTCTATCATCCTCTGCTTCCCGGCTCTGGACCGCGTGCTGACTCGGAGGTAATTTTACTGCCTAATCCTGTGCTGAACTATGCAAATTTTGATGTTACGAGTCAGATCTCTTCAAGCTTGAATTTAGAGGTGTCCTTTTAGCTTATCCATCACATGAAGCCTACCTTAGTTTTCCGGCATTTTTCATTACTCTCCTGTTTCTTGCGTGCTCCGATTAACCTATTTAATTAATACCACTTATTAATTTTAAGTAGCTAATATAAGTAGAATAATGATAGCACTCACATTCTGGCTCTTCGGTTTCACATTGTTTCCGGTATGAAGGGCTTCTATAAACCCTCGACCAAATGACGGGTTACATTTAAGGACGCAATTTCAATTTTTTTAACTAATTCGACCATAAGCTTCGTTACTAGCGGTAGGAGTGATTATTTTAAACTGTCTTGTTTAATTGGTAATACTTCTTGCTCATTGATTTTTCTTCCTTATGTGACGGCCTGCAAGTAGTATAATTTGTAAATGCAGGACCAATAATGCCGGACCCGTAAACGTTATTTCCTTATCATTGACTGTTAAAGGAAAGCGAACCAGAAGTAGCCATTCCAGTGTCCCTAACATTGTCAGTCAAACTTCTCAATCCGTCCTGCGTCATATACAGGTACAACCCTCATGCCTAAGTCGGCTTCGGCCTGGGAAATCTGTTTCCCAGAAAGCAGTTAAAAACCATAGCAGTGCTATGATATTACGTTAGACGTATAAAGGCGAGATTTACGAGATTAAACTCTGTGGAATTGAAGTTTTTCAGCAGAAAATTGTTGCATTGTTGCCGACGTTTCGAAAATCTTGTTCGGCTCTCCATTCTCCCAGTGTTTGATGCCAAATATCGATCAGCATTGTAGCTGACTGACAGGGAACCATCAACCTGGTAGGCTGTCATTCACAGTCTTTATTTGGTGTTCTCGAGGACCTATGTTGCTGGGGAAAACGATTTCGTGTTTCATGTTTACGGTGGATTGCTGATTGATCGGATCTCTGGTGGGGCTTTTTAATCCCCCCTCCATTTCTCATCAAGCCATCATGGCTACCGTGACATTTACGTATTTTTCCCGTCTAGCATGCCTGCTTCAGGTAATAGCCCAAGGCTTACCAGGCTGGGGTAGAATGACGGACCCAACACCTATTTTGGCGTCCCAGCACAGCGCTATCAGACTAAGCTGATATGCTTGCGAGGTACATCGGTTAAGAATTTGCATTCTGCAAAAGCGGATTGCTTCTTCTACAGCCCCCCAAAAAGCGATTTTGTTGCATCAGACCTAAAATGATTGAATAATCACTGAGAACACATATTCTCGGCATGTTTGTATATGAATTCATGGAATAGCAGCTTTTACCACCAAAAGGATTCCTACATCAATCTACGGCCTCCGCCTCCCAGACTGAATTATTCGTAAACGATTACTCTAGCACATGCTTAAAACGGCGTCTCCAACAGGAATATAGTTTTTTGTTGGGATTATATAAAGCATTTCTGTTAGGTCGTTATAGGCATTCAGTGTCTGTACTGTGCGCACATTTGTTCAAGTTATCGGCTGAAAATGCCTTACGACTGCGGACTAATTCACTTTTCACAGTCCGCCTATAAGGCTTAGCCAGAAAACTAGCTACAATCATTTTTATTTTTGCAAACAAAGATAATTATGCGCATATTTCCATTTATATTTTTTGCATCGAAGGTCTGATTGAGTGCGAAAAAGTTGAACCCCGCGTCTGTTATTTCCAGGACTAATCTCGTAACGTAAGAACTGTCAAACGTCACAGTGGAGAAGTGATACACAATCGACTTGATCTCTTATTGATGCTCCGTGGTCTTACTGCAGAAAATTCTTGCACGTGTGTTTTTTGCATGTCCTAGTGTGCCTTTCTGGTCATTTTTTAGGCTGAGGATGACGAAGAGAATGTAGAAAACTTGGTTCCAATACGTGGCTCTAACCGTGACGCTCTGCGTTATCGCAATTTCAACAAACTCCTCAATCTTGAGGACGACGACGTCGATGACGAGGACTTTGAAGAAAGTAGCGATGCCTCGCAGTCTTCCCCCCGCCAGCACTCACCCCAAGGTCCTCTGCTTGAACAAGAGCTTCTACATGGCCTATGTGTCTGGCTTGACCGTCTGTTTGAAGGCTCGCTTCGGCGTTACCATGTGAGGGATTGGCCGACGAATCTGGTCATAACAGGCCAAGTGGAAGATGACGGAGTTTAGCTGTTGCCTTCGCTTCTTTCTATCCTTGCCGCCGCTTTGATTTCGTCCTAACTATTGTGAAATTCGGTACGGCAATTCTCCTCCTCCTCCTCTTCTTCTTCTTCTTCTTCTTCTTCTTCTTTCTCTTCCCCTTCATTTTCTCGTCTCTTATCCCTCATCGTCTTCGTTTTTGTCCTTGTCATGCATTCATCGCTTCTGGCATTTACTGTAATGGCCACATGCCAACTCAGAAAGGGAGAATGCAAGGATCACTTGTGTTCCCTTTAACCTTTCGCTGCCTCGTATTCTGTGATTTGATTATCCGACCTTTACGGTCGTTTTTACTTTCTGTTAGACCTAACTTCTATGTTAATACAAAGTTGTTGCGCTATTGTGATCTTGGTCGAACTATCGGTACATCTCCCTCCCCAACATGGACTGTGGTGCTGTGCGGGGGACTTCACAAGTCTACACTACTCGATGAAGGACGCCTTCATGTTACGTTAATCACTTTGACGATTTTATCGCCTGTCGGCTTGATGCTGACTTCCGACTGCTATGCATAGAAAAAAAGAGTGAGGACAGAGTAGGGCCGATCCGGAATTTACTTTCTCGCTACCTTAAATGTGCTGGTAATTCAATCTCAAGAAAGACTTGAAGTAGCTCAGAGAGTTGGACACTGGCGAAACAATTCGGTATCCCATACCAAGGGTCAGACCCACATATTCATTTCTTAATTGGAGGTCCGAGGTAATTTTGGTGGCTGATTTCTCTTTGCGTAGGGCCCAGCGCACGTTGGTCGTATGGGAAGGGTTTAGGTCACCGGGACCAGTCCAGTCTTCAATCTCTTTGAGTCTGTTTTGTTATTGGGACAGAATGGGCACGAAGATGGTGAGAGGTGTGTTGTTTAAACCTCTGCCATTAACCCAGCTTAGGACAGATTTGCTACTGGCTCTACCCCCTGCCCCTGGAACAGTGGCAGCAACCTGAATTCTCAGTTGACAGTTTTGTAGGTGTGTAGGTGAATATAACAATCTCAGAGTCCCACCTCTATGTTTTTTTACTGCCTTGACCCTGGTAGATACGCTCGTATCAAAACGCAAGACTCGTCTCTTGATTAATTATCCTGCGGGGAGTGGGAAGAGCTATTGAAATATGCAGAATCATTAGCCGCCGTTGCATTAATATCATATTACCGTCTACTGAAGAAAAAAGTATCGTTTAATCGATCGAAAGGGATGGCTATTGGGAATGAATCAAAAGTAACACCTTCAACCTTTTGCACAGCCTGTCATAAGTCTGGACTTGTGTGTCTTGCCGCAGAAGTCCCAATTTAGTTCCCCCACCAGGAAGCCATTAGGAATTGTAAAACTTTGTCATAATCTTCCTAGTACCTCACATGACGCGACGGCTGGACTGGGATTCTCGTATAGCAGTAAGCACGGGCGAGGTAGGTCATAATTTTAGCGGCGCAATAGATTTAACTGCTCGGATGTGGACTGAGTTATCCGCCAAATCCACTTCACCCCACCCCAGCTTATCAATCACTTGACATTTCCGTCGGAGGTCACAGTTTGGAGGTTTCGGCTGCATCAATGAGGACAACGCCGAGGTCAGCATGAAGCGGCATCGTTGCAGCAGTCACCTTTTGATGACAGGGATCTTAAACCCTAACCTGAGCAGCTAACTCCCCTCGCCCTTACCACGGTGAAGCTTGTTGCGGCAGAGTGAGTGATCGACGCAGCCGGCCCACCCTATTGCCCTTTGCTGGCCGGATTATGAAAGGTTGTACAGTCGCCAGGCCGGGCAACAAAGTGCAAACTGCGCAGAAACCAGGTCAATCAAGCCTGGAAATCTGTGATCTTGTGGTGTATTCCGTAGTTTACAATGAACTTGACGGTCCGATGGGTGAATCAGCCGCCCGAGGCGTTGGTTCTCCTCTTTTTTGGAAATCTGAAGGTGTAAAGCAGAGAAACAATACAGAAACGGGAGTTTATCCCTGAATCCGAGAGTAACACAAATAAGACATTGGCCCCAGTTTACGCATTTTACCTCACAATTTCGCAAAGAACTTTGAATGAGAGTTATTTAAAGGGCGATAGAGAGGCCACCAGCACTGTAATACAGATGGGGATGCGTCAAATATCATAGCATACCCCTTGTTTAAACTAAAATTAATCCTTATATAGCATGGTTAAGAAAGGGCCAAACAGCGAACATTAACCGCTCCATTCTAGCATACATGGTGGACTCAGATAATTGCGCAGATGTCAGAGAGGCTTTCCAAGCTATTTACAGGGTTCCATCAGCTATTCCAAATCTGCTCGACAGTGTCTAGTAGCTACGGCAAAAGCAGCTGCAATGAGATTACGCTAACCGAACCTGTACGCCAAAATGTACTTCGCAAAGGCGCCGTAACTATCATGACCGAAAGTGCATAGTTAAACTACTGCAGTGAATTACCTTTCTCGACGCCGATCAGACTACTGGTCCCACTTTTTGTTTTTTTCTCTCCCCACCCTTGACAACCGTACGATCTTTTCAACCAATCGGTATATCTTACTGAGTCATCTAACTATACACGTGGAAGCCGAAAGAAAATTTATCAATAGAAAACTTATGCTTGCCAATTTATATTTCGAATAACCCTAATTTGCCTGAAATTTAATGTGAAATCAGCCTTTTTATTGGGCGCCCCAATTCCCGTCCTACCGGTGAGGGGAGCGGGTAAGGGGTGTACTTGGACCACTTACACCTTACCTGAAGTTAATGCTTAAACTAAAAATCAAATATAACAATGAGCAAAAACAACAAGAGTTCAAAGGTATGTGAAATATTAAGAAAATAGTTACAAGTTGAAGTCCTCGTGTACACGGGGATAAAGTTTCAGCGGTGTTCTCAGTGCAGTGAAACACTAGGGCCAGTCAAGGAAAATGGCGGCAAGAATTTAAAAGGTCAACGATAGTTTGGGACGTCGCCACAGGGGAAGGGAACGCTAACAGCAATTGGCAGTCGGGATTGCTTATATGCTCCCCCAAACAGGACATGGGGATAGGGACGTCCCCACCACACAATGAAATTGGACTGACGCTATCTTTCAGGAAGGTTAAATATTTCCGCATCCTAATCCAAACTTACCCCCGAAACTCAACCGCAAGTCCAACCTCTGCCCTAAGCCTAATCTTCTTGGAATTTAGAAAAATGCCACCATTTTTACTCGTGGGGCTGGGAGAGGCGTTTGTATGTCCCTGCCTAATAGGCTAGTAGTACAGCCGAGTCAAACATTGAAATTTCCTAATTCAAGTGTCTTTCGGATCTCCTTTCACACCGCCCGTTTATCCTAAAATTTAGGCAAGGGATTGAAGGTTTCTCTTATTAATGATTTAATTTGGATTTGAAAAGCGTTGGAGCAAGTTTTTGAGGCAATTGTCGACTGTTTTATCTTGTCCCACGTTTACATAGCACAGAGAGTAAGTGACATGAGAACGCTGGGAAAATTGGAAATAATTCGACGCAACTTATAAGGGACTGTTGTGGGGTGATTACCTGGTTAGCCTGTTTTGGTTGTTTAGTCCGAGGAATTTCTACATGCCTGTCGGACTAAATACCCGTACTGTCTGCAGCTGTCTTACCTGATAAACCCTCTGTAATTACTTCAAATTACGGTGTGTCGTGGCAATTTTTTAAATGATTACCTGCCATCCATCATCGAAAAGTCAATCAAAAGTACAATTTGAGAACTTCCTCTCACTTAGGACAAAAATACCTTCGAAACCAAGCCAATATTTATCTGCCGTTGATCAGCGTCGACGATGATGCTAGCTATCCCTCCACTACTCTCAAAAAGCTTTCATATAATCAGTAAATCTCGGTAAGAGTC